TTTTCAATATGTTCTGCTTATATGCTTTATTTAATTATTGAATTTTGAGGAGCTGCTGAATTTTCTTCAGGAGTGCATCTCATCTTCTTCATCAGCAATTCATGGTGGCACTTAAAGGTGTTCATGGCAAATTGTACAGCCGTCACTAGTTTTATTAGTTCATATTTTCATTTTAATATAATTTATTCAAGAGCATGTGCTGTTTCTCATTTATGTTGTGCATTTATGTGGTGGTCAAGAGAGGTCCGGGATTAATTTGGTTGAAAAGTCTTGGTTACATATACCTCCAGTTTGTGCTCCTCATTAAATTTGCATCAAAGAGCTAAGTGTATATATTTATGAAAAATATATACCCTGCAATTTTCTGAAAAGCAACATTTAATAACGACACATATGTTATTTCTATTCTGAATGCATTTCCAGAACCATCACAAACTGTTTTGTCCACCTGGATGTAAAAATATTCCACCTGCTATATGATAAAAGTAATTTTTAACTTTTTTTCAAATTGTAACCAGAAATGGCACATCCTTTCTCTTAACACAAGAAAAATATGAACATCTTATTTTATTTGAAATTATAAAATAGTAAAGTATCATTAATACAGGCAAATAGACATGATGGTGGAATAATGTAAATCTGGTTAGACTTCACGCCCGATTGAGTAAATGCAAGGAGAAGAAATATCTGACAACTGTGATAATAAGACATAAGAGTATAAGATAAACCATTAAAGCATAATGTAATAAATCCTACATGAGTGAAGCTTCTTTGCCAGCCACACAGGTCCTGCTTTTTAACCATAATTTCCCTAAGAAAAACAACATCTTGTATTCAGGACAGTAGTGTGTTTGTTGAATGCAGACCATGATCAGGTTGTAAAGAGAAAAGATCAATCAGGTCCAGTTAGTAATCCTTTAATCTAATACTTGTACCCATCTTTAGTTCACATGATTTCATTCAGATGGTCCAAAGAGTCAGTGGCATTTTGGAAACAACTTCAGAACAGCAGTTGGGTTTTCAAAGTTTCCCTTTATTTATCAGAAAATCACATTCTTAGCTCTGTGACTTGAGGTATTGTTAACACATTAGAGGTTCAAACGAGGCCGGTTACTTAGAATCGTTGTTTTAACAGGATTTAAGCGTTGATGTTGAAACAGGGTCTTTCACATGCTGTTGAAACAACACATATATGTAACCTGGATTTTTAAAAAGCTCACCTTTTAGCCGGACAGATCCAGGTTTGAATCTAAATGTTATGCTGCATTATGAAACAGATGTCTCAGACTTGTAAATCTTAATTATATCATTTATTGCAAAAATGATTTTTAGGTGTTTATCATGTCTGTTGTTGTACTTATTGTTGTTACACTATCATTCATTTTACTGTCCTCAAAGCTGTGCACAAGCAAATTAAACTCATTCACATCGTGCTTAACATAGAGGTGTTTAATGCACTTTGCTCTGGTACTGAGAAGAATAAAAAAAAAGTCAGTCAGAAAGGTTAAAGTAATAACAATGTGATCATAAAACCACTGTGGATCACAAAGTGCTCTTACAGCACTGAACACACAGCAGAACAAAAGCAGCACAGCTTTCAGTTGCAGTAAATAACACCAGCACTCCGCTGACCTGTTTCATCACGCTGCCTCTCTGTACAACCGCAGAGCCATTAATGCCTCGGCTCTATTATTAGCACTGAAATGCTTTTTGCTCCGTTTCTGTCCTTGTCGTTTTATGGATGAAACCATGGCTAAGTGCCCTTTAAAGGCAACTGGTTTTCTGACAATATCATTCTAAATCAGAAGTGTGTATTTTGTGTGTGTGTGTGTGTGTGTGTGTGTAGTTCATGACCAAGAACCCTGCCAAACGTCTGGGCTGCGTGCTGAGCCAAGGCTGCGAGGAGGCCATCAAGACCCATCCCTTCTTCAGAGAGATCGACTGGGTCCTGCTGGAGCAGAGGAAAGTCAAACCACCTTTTAAACCCCGAATCGTAAGCAACACACACATGTATACAGCATATTACACACAATACACAAAACACACACTAATGTTTTACATCCCCACAGAGCTGTACACCAGAAGAAATGTTAACTGTGACCTAGTGTGACTGCTTTACGTATTCTTAATGTGTTTTCCATGTATTCAGAGATAAATGGATTTTACATTTAAGCCCCATTATATTTGTTTTTATGGGTCTTTTATTTGTCTTATGTATCTTTTCTTTATTCCATGATTCTTTCTTAAAATTAGCAGAGTTGCTGGATTTTTTTGTGCAAAAGAAAACATAAGCAGAAAGTCTCTGAAAGAAACTTTCATAAATAAATAAAAGTTCAGGGTTTTATGTAGCAGAAATATATTTTATGATTTTCTACTTTCCTGTGCCGTTTATTTTGCAACACCTTAGCAGAATAGACTGTTGCGGGACACAAAAGCAGACCTGCAGGTGACAGTGTAGACTGCAGTAAGGCTCAGTGGGCAGAAGGTGTCGCTCTAATATCACTTCCATAGATTGTATGAAGTTTCCTCCTGTGACTTTCTTCTTCTCTGTGTGTTTGTGTGTTTCTGCAGAAGACCAAGCGAGATGTGAATAACTTTGACCAGGACTTCACTAAGGAGGACCCCGTGTTGACGCCAACAGATGAGGCCATCATCCGACAGATCAACCAGGAGGAGTTCAAAGACTTCTCCTACTGCGCCCCAGAGGAGATGCAGACCTAACACATACACACACTGATCCAACAACACTAAAGCTGGCATACACGTACGCACACATGCTGACACTCATACAAGTGTAGAACCATAAATCCCTTTACAAAACACACAGACACATGGTCACTCCTTTACTTTGAAGCTATTGGTTGTTGTTACTTTTGAAATATTCTTTACTTGCATTGTGTTGTTCTTGTTGCCTGGGTTTAATATGAATATGAATATGAATATGAATATGAAAAACAGCTCTCACGGACATTCCGCGCACTTTTAACACAGATTTACAAACACACACTACAGTCCCAAGTTCTACATGCTCTCACATGACTATAAGCACATTGCACATGCTCAGACAACCAAACGCACACATGCACACACAGTTACACTACTTCTCTCCCCAGCACCTGTACACATGTGGACTGTAGGTGCTGGGTGCAGAGACCTGTATATAGCCTGTGTTGAGTGGCTGTATTGTGTTGGTATTGTCTGCTAGTAAAGGAGAGTTGTGGCGCATGGACAAGCACCCTACCTGTGTTATTACTGTCCTTATTGTGGACCAGTTAGGGCCAAATACCCTTTGTGCAATACCATGACTATCTATATATTTTATAGTTTTGTTTGTTCATGTGTTATTTTTGTCTTATTTTTTCTCAAAATGTTTTTTGGGGGATTATAGTATGATTGAAATCTTGCTCTCATCAGTTCTCCTGTCTTGTGTGTATAAAGTGAATGTCGAGCTTACAAGTTACAGGCTATTGAACTAATTATGTGGAGCAGAGTGTTACAGGCGGCCTGTGTAGCAGTGAAAAGTCTGGTGTCCAGCTATCTCTTCCATCTGCTAGTTTCAGAGTCCGTGTCTGTCCTACTGGTCTGAATGTGGTGGTCCGTGGGCGGGTTCTTTGTCGTGAATGTACGTTTTCCATTTTTGTGTGTGAGTGCCCATACGCCTGTCGGTGTATGGCTTTTTGTTTTTAGCCACCATCAGTGTTTTCAGCCCCCCTTTCCTTCCCTCTCTCCTCCAAAGGACCAATTCCTCTTTTCCACCTCCAGCTGCCGTCTCGCTCAGCCAAAACCACTTGCTTTTCTGACTTTAGCTTTTTTCAAGAATGGCTTTTTCTTTCTTATTGCTCTCTTCCTTTTTTATTATAATTATTATTGTAAAGTGTATCTGGAGGAAACCTTTGTGTGTATTACTACAACTATACTATTATAGGTCTGTTACAGCTGGGCAAAAAGAAATGTGGGGAACCAGCAGCTGAATTACCTCTCATTTCACCCCCACCCCCCCACCTACCCACACACACACACACACAAAACACCACATACAGACTCTGTCCTCTGCCTCTTCCTTCTTCTCACTCTCTTTCTTACAAACACACACACGCACACCCAGAGAAGGACTGTTGTTGTGCGTACTGTACAGTTATCAGAAGGCAAGCTGGTTGCTCTGTGTGCAGTAGAGTCGGTGTGTAGTGAAGCTTTGTGCACCCAGGGGTAGGGCTGTTCCTGGTCACACTTCTATCTTACTCTGTGCCAAAATGTAGTGCAACATTCGGGCTAGTCCCGTCTGGTCTGATTCTATTAAAACACTGAGCTGTCGACATCACTCCCAGACTCCTCTGTGTCTTCCTTCCTTCCTCCTTTATTTATTTATTGGTGGCTTTTATTGCTTGTTTCCTGCTGCTGTTCAGAGGCAGGTTTGTGGGATGCTTGAAAGTTTGCATAAGAAGAAGAAGAGAGGACAGGGTGGAGCAGAGGGAGAGAGGAAGGGGGTGGGGAGGATGATGCTTTTCCTGGCCAGCTGACCTATCATCATGCTCAGTTTTGGAGGCCTGTAAGTGCTGCACATGTAGAGGGGACAGGAGAACGCTCGCTGGAGTCTGTTCAAGTCATCTGTACAGCAGGACAACACTGTGCCTTGTGACATTTGGCACCTCTAAACGCCTCTCTGATTAATTAAGCTACCTCTGATGGTGCAAACTGTAGTGGGGAGATCTCCCTGCTGTGCTGTAAACTCCTGCTGCCACCATCTCTTGTTTTTGAGCCAACATTCAGCATGACCCTGGAGCAGAGACAGTTGGACACAATGACAGCTGACAAGGAGAAAAGAAGGTAAAGCTGCAAGTTGCATGGATATTTTGAAAACCATCTTATTTCTTTGTAGATTTGGTCAGTAAATATGGTGACGTGTTGAGGCCAAAGATATAGATAAATTGACCACAGTGCTTTACTGTCCTCATTAGTGTTGGAATAACCTATCCAATCATTTAAAAAGGTAAAAAGTAACAACATCCCAATGGAAAAATACAAGTAAAAGCTCTGCAATCAAAATGTTAATAGTTTGAGGTCATGCAGAAGATAGAAAATAGACAGTAACAATTATTTTCGTCAGACAAAATGGAAATAACACTCACGTAAAGTAGATTATTTAAAGTGAATTTTAATGCAGTCCCTGGGGAAATGCATGTTTGCATCTTCCATCTGTTCAGTTCTTACTTGTACTCAGTGGAATTCCTGGTTAAAAATCATAAAATTACTCCTAATAACTAACAGTAAACAAACACAGTAGTCTGTAATGATACGTTTTGTACTTTCTGTTAGCCTGTACTAACTGAGGTCCATGCAAAGTATAACAAAAGGTAAATTATAATTTGCTCTTAATTAGTGGCACAGTGGTTTGGTTCTGGGTTCGGGCCCCACCCGGGACCTTTCTGTGTGGAGTTTGCATGTTCTCCCCGTGCTTGCGTGGGTTCTCTGCGGGTACTCCGGCTTCCTCCCACAGTCCAAAGACATGCAGCTTAGCTTGATTGATGTCTCTAAATTGCCCAGGAGTGCGTGTGTGTGGTTGTTCGTATATGTGTTAGCCCTGCGATGGATTGGCGACCTGTCCAGGGTGTACCCCACCTTCGCCCGATTGCCGGCCGGGAAAATTACATTTTTCAATCCAGACCTTTGGTATACCATGTAATATTCCTTCTTTATCCATGTAGTGTGTCTGTGGTAATACACTAAAGTCTATAGTGACATTATTGTACTTTGTTTAAATTTTGCAATGGTCTTGTAATTGTCATCAGTATTCCTTGAGTTGGTTTTCACATAAAAGCTGTTAATCAGTCATTTTTTGTTCTTTTCCTTTGGCCTGTGCAGGGCAATCAGCCGTGAGGCCGCCAGGAGGAGGCGGCGGATAGAATCGGATGTGTTCAGAGATTTATCTCGTCTCCTGCCACTCCAGCTCTCGGCCCAAACTCACCTGGACAAACCCTCCATCATTCGCCTCAGCCTCAGCTAC